TAGTGCCACCATCCCAGCCCACTTCGCAGCCTGAAAACCCAACAGCGAAAGCTGCGTCGGGTAACATGGGTTCAGACTCCGCGACGCAGACAGACCTACAGCTGCAGCTTCCGGCGGTCTCTCAGTGTGAATCCTCGACCCAGGCAGAATTACAGTCGTCCACATCAGTGGTAGCATCGCGAGCGTCCGCGAACAAGAAGGAGAAAGGGAAAAATAAAAAGGATGAGCAGAAGAGCGATAGTGATTCCAGTGACAGTAGCTCGAGCGACAGTAGCGCTAGTGAGAGTAGCTCGAGCGACAGTAGCTCTAGCGACAGTGACTCTACTGACAGCAGTGAAAGTGATGAGGAAAATGAAAGGAAAATTAAAACAACCCGAATAAAGAGCAAGCCGGAGGAAAAGTCGGTGTCAAAAGAGTCAGCGAAGAAGATGAAGAAGGAGGAGGAAGAAGACGGACGAATAGACTCTGTGCCCTTTTACTGAACACAGTTATACTGAAACTGTGACACGCCAATCTTTTTCTTCTAGCATATTCGCACTTATCTTTGTACACGTTTTTGATGAAAAGATTTCTGTGGAGATTTCCCAGTACCTAGGCTTCGTCTTTTCTTTCCTGTAACGTGCACGGTTGGACCACACCAAAGTCCTAATAAGCTATTTAGAATTAGGAAACTTGATAGGGAAGTAGTCTGCTCGAAATTATCTAGCTACCACCGCAGCCGACGGTGTACGAATTTGTAGCGGAGGTGGTGGTTGTGCGTTTGACCTTACAGTTCGGCCGCAAAAAGCAACGATTTGCGACATGTGCTCCACAGAGTTGGGACGGCCCGGGCGCGAGTTATCACTCGGGCAATCTTGAGGGTGCAAGAACAAACGGATATTACTGGCGACCGGTTCACGCAGTTACAAGCGACCTTTAAAGGTCGGATATTAGACTAGAACAAAGGAGGCAAGCGCAAGCGAAATTGTCCCGAGGCCGGGTTGCTGCTATCGGGAGGTCACGCTGAGGACACGGTGGCTGAAGCATGACGGCTGCCTGTAGAAGCCAATATAGAACAAGGACTACTAGCCCCTAAATTTGCTGCCACCGCTGAAGACGGCACACTGTTGCTGGAGACGCTGCCAACGACCCGAGATTCCGCTGCTAGCGACCCAGGACACGGCTGCCAGAGACACGGAATGCTGTTGGCCGAGACGATGACAGAACATAAGCTGCTGACGGACACAGAAGACAAGCTGCTAGACACACAGGAAACAGAGCTGATGTACTAGTAGAACTGACAGTAAAGTACTATCTGCTATCCTGTTCTGCCTTCTCTTCCTAACACGTAACTGGGGAAAATAACCAATTTTGACACACGAACACACAGGGTTATAACACAGTTGGGCACAACACCTGCGACTTGCGTTCGAAGTAGGTAAGGATGGACCTGGTCAGCAGTCAGCCCTTTGCCTCGCTTCCTCTCTTTTTCTTTCTTCATCGCTCTGTCTTTCTCTCTCTCTTACCCTCTCTTCCCCTTCCCGATATACCAGCCAACTGTCCTATGGGATAAGGCTGAGGCTGCAAAGCCAAACTATAGGGCAGTAGTTGTGCCCTCGCAGGCCGAAAAACGCACTTTAGGGCCAAGGATGATTCTCCATTTGCCCCGGTTATAGCATCTTGTGAGAGTACAATATAATATCTATTGAAATTCGGGCATTACAGGATATTACAGGAAGAAGATGAGAAGGGCTTCTTTTGGAAAGTTGAAACCTCGATGCGTTAATTTGGAGACTGGTTCGCCAACTCGTCTTCAGACATGAGAAAATGTGCAAAAATCAATTAAAATTTTAAACGTCCAGAAAAACTAATATTCATCTGACGTAAGCACCGACTGGCAACTGTGGATTATGTCAGTCTGCGCCAGTAGGCGTTACGTGCATTTCGCCATTCCGTCGTGGTTGGTCGCGCGCGTTGAATTCGGCCTTGAGGTACTTTTAGTTGGCGTCCAAGTCGATAGGCCTGTGGATGCATGCCTTCTGAGTGCATTGCTTCCAGGAATTTTAGTTGGAAAAGTGTTAGCAAATTTGTGGCCGGTTTCCAGTGTGTGCATGGTCACCTGAAATAAATGTTCTCGTCTTCTGACCACTGATTGATGTTGGTGTACGCGAGTTGTGGTGCACTTTCCAGTTTGGCCACACTAAAGTGCATCCCAACCGGCACACGGGATCTTGTAGTCAACATCTTTTCTTTCAAGGTAGCCAACGCTCCCTTTAGGATGTAAAAGCTGTCATCGTAAGGTGACGCGCGATGATTTGCCACTTGTATCTGATGTTTTCTTAGTTGTCTTTCGACAAGATCAGATATATGTTTGCGTACGGGAGAGTTCGCCAGGTTAGTGTATTTGCTACCTGTATGGCCGTATCATTTGAAATGCCTTTTTCTTTCTTCGTTTGAAGTTTTTCGTTTCATG